GCTGAGTGGGTGTAGATGCATGATGGATGGATGATGGCGATGGATGGATGGAGCCGATGGATGGAGTGGATGGATGCGATGCGCGTGCGCGTGAGTGGCCAGTGATGGGCGCGGTGGCGTGCAGGTTCCGCGGCTTCTCACCCGTCCCGGACTGAATGGATGATGCGGACGCGCGTTAGGTGCGCTAGATGAATCGGATGGATGGATGGATGGCATGGATGGATGGACGGACGAATGACTGCACAGACCAACATATTGAGTTTAAGGCTACACTAGTTGTTAATCATTTCTGATCTGTTATTAAGCACTATTGCAACATTTAACTTCAATGGACTTGCTGTTTACGGACCATGGGATTGCAATCTGTCCAATGCAAATGAGGATTGTAACGCTTAGGCTTCAGTTACCATCTGGCGCTATTCAGAAATTAGCCTGTTTTATCTCACGCACTGTGCGATGACAGATTATTACATCGTTGCTTAAATGACTGTAATTACAAACGATGATCTCGTCATCAATACATACAACAAAGAAACAAAACAAATAAACATTAAATATACATTAACAACTAACGAAACATTCTCCATCGGTCGCTGTCGGGTTTCTGACCGTGGACCAATAATGCAAAACATGTGTCGGTGAAAGTAATATGATGTAAAGGTAATTAACAATTAAATTTGTATGACGTATCTGTAACATAAATGTAGAATTTGCGTTATGTAAAGTGAGTATGTTAACTAAGTCTTGCCATGTTTTTGGCTGTGGTAACTTGGGTTGGAGACAACGTGCATTAACTAAATACATAAACATTATAAACCTGCATTTTGCATTCTAAACCAATGCACCACGCAGTAACTTGCAACAACCACTTGATCCTTGACTGGATGGCTGGCTGGTTGGATCGATGGATGGATTGACGGACGGATGGCTGGCCGGACAGACGGACGAACGGATGGACGGATGGCTGGATGGTTGGATGGCTGGAGAGATGGAGGGATCGATGGCTGGCTGGAGAGATGGATGGATGGATGGTTGGCGGGAGAGATGGATGGATGGATGGATGGATGGATCGATGGATGGGTGGGTGGATGGATGGACGGACGGACGGACGGACGGCTGGATGGATGGATGGACGGACGGACGGCTGGCTGGCTGGATGGATGGATGGATGGATGGATGGATGGATGGATGGATGGATGGATGGACGGACGGACGGATGGCTGGATGGATGGATGATTAGTCGCAGCCAGAGTCTGCCTGTTGCTGTTGACGTAAACCAGAACCGATAGCGTTCGTCCTAATGTGTACTGCCTCGCGAACAAATGGCTTCAGTTAATAACGCTGAAAATTGACTGAAATTCCACCTGACCTATACAGCGTAATCGTGGGACTCTCTGGTGGCAGGGGCTGTTATCCGCTCTTAGACGGATAAGCCGTCTGCGTGATTAGATGAGTGCGTATAAATGCAGTGCGTGTCATTGGTAAGATTCGCAGCTTAATTGAGTTATTCCTCAATCCTACTGCTTCCATATAGAATCAGTAGGATTAGTTTTCTGATCTTATTTCCATAATCAATAATGTATTGGAACTAAAATTTTGTCATAAAATACATGAAAGAGTCGGGTTGTAACTTTTAGGGGATTACCTCATGCTCATGTGTTAAAATTAATTGGTTTGTAGTATATATTGTGAAAAAATTGTACCAATAATTTGCTATTTTTCCACGAAGTGTGACTATGCCCCGTTGCTCATCACTGTGAATTAATAGATATGTAAATAGAGACGTGGAGGTTTAATGTCACTGCAATTCTTCCTGGTTTTTTTTCCATCCTGGTCACGATCGAACCACTTGCGAATAGAGTATATGTATGTGTATATGGGTGCAGGGCAAATGCGAAACACATATCTTGCAGTCTTCTACACTGAAAAAATACATGCGTCCAACGAAATCGGGTGATTTTTGTAGATAACTGTTTTATTATTAAAACTTAAAGCATACATACACGTACATCGACCATAATGGTGAGACTCGGTGTAAGTAATAAGCACAGACTCAGTGTAAAATAAACTCTATTAATTTCGTTAACTGTTCAGCAAAACGCTATTCCTGACGCACAACTACCTCGATTCAACATACAATTAGCCCTCGCACTCATTGCACTCGTTACACACAAACTAGTACTATCTACTGTTTATACACGTCCCGTGGGTGTGATTTTCCTTTAAGATTACAAGCATTCACTACAAATACAGGCCGCAACCGTATCTGCCGCGTTATTTGTCGTCTGTTGCTGCTGTACGTTACTCGCCCCGCGTGAGATATCGGCGCGAAGCCTTCAGCCGATAGGGTGTGATATGTGTAAAGTAGATCTCGTCCGTTCTGGTTTGCGATAGACCCGACGCGTTGCGGACGATTATTTAAAACCCCTGGCCGTGATGGATGGAT